GTGCCCGCGGGGCGGTCACTGCTGCTCCGGGGCCGTGTTCGGTTAGCGGTATCCTCCCCGCCGCTGCTCCTGGGAACTTGTTGATCCTCTTAAGACTCTCTGTTAAAGTCTTTACCAAAATGTCTTTTTCAGGCTATTGCCAAAAATGGCTTTTATTGGGTTATCGAGCAGCCCAGCAGTGACATCACTCGAGTAGATAATTTACCGAGCGTGCAGTGGACGGGAGTGACTGTTTTGTGTCATCATTTCTATACAGCACAGTGTCTGAGGCCAGTCACAAGTTAGTTTTAGGCCCTGGCACTGATAGGCTTAGCCACAGCCTTTGCCCACCGCAGGAAAATCTCTGTGGGCTTTACTCACGGCAATACTGATAGGAATGGACACGTTTTATTTCAGGAGCCTCTAAAGGGTATAGTAGTGCAGTCTGGTGGGTATCTTGAGTGTTTTTCTAACTTGTGCATACGTGTAATTGCCCCCTGCCAAATGGGATTGTGAAGGTGATCACATAAGCCTCCTTTAGACTGAACTGTGCAGTCTCTGGGCAAACTGTGATTGCTGAGAGGTTTTGTCTGAGTGTTTAGAGCTCGTTTACACTTTTGTGGCATGGTGTGCAGACAATCCTGGATTTCAATGGCCTTGTTGCTTAAACTCTTCATTTGACAGAAGAAAATCATTATTTGTCCCTAGGCCTGATATGCAGTTCAGCGTGTAATCTTGTATCTTACTCTAAGAATCCATACGTGTAGTTTTTATCAGCTGTGAAAATAATGGTCAAGCCTTGGCTTGAGTTGAGACAGGAACATAAAGGCATGTAAAATGGTATAACTGCCAATGGTCCGAGGTGTGCCTTTTCTTGTTTCAACTTGTGTATGGCCCTGAGGAAGATATTTTTGGTGAACACATCCCTTGTTCTACTTGGATCCCTTCTTAACTCCCAAATCACAGACACCTTTCTGTGCTTTGTTTAATTGCACACACCTTTGTTAACAAGTGCTCCTCTTATCCTGTCTCACCTGATCACTTTTCTCCCTAAAGGGCTAATTTAGGTCAAACTTACTAGTTACTAAGAGATTCCCATCAAGACATTGTTCTGAAGGATTAATGGAACTAATTGTTCACCTCTGGGGAAGGAATTTTGCTCTAAGTTCTTTCAAGCAGAGGAGGAGCAAAGAAGCAATTTCAGGGCTATGGAGTCTTCTAGGCCCAAATAATACTGCTTCACTTCTGGGATGTTTGCATTTTTCCAAGAGGATTGCTAACTTTTCTTTCCATTTGTTTTGCTAGCTTTCTTATGCCAACTTCTTCAATTTCATTTTCTTCCCTCTGTCTCTGCCTCATTTCCTGTGTTTAAATGCCAGTTGACTTCTCTTTAACTCTTCTCTCTTTCTCCTTTCTCAGGTTGTGGAAGCTACTTAGATTTTGTTTTCTCCCCTCTACCTCTTCTGCTATTTTCATCTATCGTAGGAGTTTCCTAAATCTCCTGGGTGATGAGAAAGTGCTGCCTTTGTTGCCTTATTTAGGACATTACCCAAACCATATGCAGTCTTTGAGAAACTGGGAGAGAGAAGATACCCTATGCTTACAGTGTGTGCTCCTAGGTCTGATCTTTTTGTTTCCATCAGCTTATTGCATTGAGTTTCCAGTGGCTCTATTTTGTTTTCTACCTCCTGGATGCAAGGTGCTGCAGACTTTCCAGTGAGGTGTCGCAAGTGATTCTTTGCTTCCCCTGTCCTGTCAGTTGTTCTGTTGTTCTCCTGGTCAATTTATTAAGCAGAGGATTTTATATGACGCATTCATACTGATGTTATTCAGTAAAATTTATTTTTTCAGGAACTTCATCATAGGCAGAGAAAATTCTACTTCCCTTAAAGTCTTTCTTGTCTCTTCTGTAATTCCTTTGCATCTGAAATACATAGGGGTTCAGAGAAACTTAGAAAATGCTTTTCCCTTGTATGTACCCAGACATGGTACATACCATGGAGTCTCCCTTAAGGTCACTGAGAGCAGCTGATGTTGTGTTTGAGTTGACAGATAAGGGTGAAGCTGAATTTCAGATAGCAGTAATCCTCAGGTAGTAATAATGATAATAATATTTCAGAAAAAGAAATGTGTGTTTAATTTTTCTGTATTAAAGTAGGGAATAGAGGGTATTCTGTGCTTTAAAGCACATCCTTCTAGTGCCTCACGGCTGCAG